ATATATATTTTATGTAGACAAACATATATATATATATTTATACATATATTCATATGTAACGTTAGTCTCCATCTTGTTCTAGTCACATGGTTATAGTGTATCAAGAGTTCACAATCAAGATATCCATGTACACAAGTATGCGAATCCATTTTCCTTTCTACGAGTCACATATGTATCTATCTTTAAGGTTTGTGAATGAAAAAGAAATCCATGTTCGCTTGTTAATATCGTACATGCCTTGCATGAATACTGTTTTCAACTGCAAATAAATAGAGCTCTGGATCACGAGCAGCAAAACGTATTCCGCTCCTGAAATTATCAATAGTGTTGACTCTCTTACAATCCACGGATGTCCCGATGTCACCTTGAGCTGTGCGCCGGGTGGTGGTGTCTTCGCAATAAGGTAGTGACAGGATAAAAGTTATGAGATAATCTCCACTTAGTTCATTTTTGTTGCTTTCGTGCTTTTTGTAGTATATAGAACTGTCAAACCAGAATTTTTGCAATAGTTTTATCATTCGATGCGCCGACAATCCTTGTTGGGTTGTCTTTTGGATATGCATCTCCTCCTTCACATTCTGAAAGCACGCCCGTAAAGATTTTATGTATGCTTTACTATCCCCGTAATCATATAACCCTTTGCAAAATTCAACTGGGACCCACACAGAGATGCGATAGATGTCACGTTCGAAGGGCTTACCATACAGAATTGTTCTGCTGGAGCGATTGTAGCGAAGACACAGAGCTTCGTCGCTTTAGTTCGAGTAAATATAATTGGAACAGGGTATGTCCATGCATGATGCATAACAGTTTGCAGTACGATGCTGATGTACACATAATTTGTACATGGTATTTCTATCGCGCAAAGAGTATTGTGCAAAGTCTTTACTGGCATTCCTTAGGTTACCCTTTCAAAGATTTGTTGAATCGGTCCCCACTTGTGTACTGGCGGGATCTTCTAACTCCGTCAAAATGGCCGGCCTAAACATTCACTCGAATTAGCAAGCTGTCAGGCTAAATACTATACACCCTCGATGAGCTGTTATGGGGACGTACTATGTTAGTGTACACACACACATATATATATATTTATGTATATTTATGTATATATATATATATACATACATATACATTATATATATATATATATATAAATATATATACATTATATATATATGCATACATATATAGATATAGATATAGATATAGATATACACATACATATACACATACACGTATATAGATTTTATCAGAAAAATCTCATAGTATATCAAATATTAATTTCAGAACTGAGATGTCAACGTCGGCCGTGACGTTGACCTCACCCGTCGTGGTTATAGAAGACTGCAAGTTTATAGACAACAAATTGTCGCTGGCCAACACTTCGCACGCGGTAAGTGATATGCGGAGCTTGAATATACATATATATATATATATGTTTATATATATATATATGTATGTATATTTATATACATATATATGTAGACGTATACATATATCTATATATAAATGTATATATTTATATATATGTATTTATATACTCACACACACACACACACATATATATATACCTATATTTGTATTTATAATATATATAAATATATATATATATATACACACACACACATATATATATAATATATATATATATACACGCTACGAACACACACCACCACACACACACA